CCACCCCCACCCCCCCCCCCAATTTTCCATTCCCCCACCGGAAGCCTTTCGAACGAACGCCACCTGTCCCCCCCACCACCACCACCCACCACCACCACCACCATGGCCCGCCGCCGTCGCCGTGGACAGCGGAGCCAGACGGGACGACAGGCGAACAAGGGCAGCACCGTGCGGCACATGTGCGTCTCCTGCCATACCCAGCTCCCGCGGTCGTCGTACTCGTCGACTCAGTGGTCACGCCCTCCCGAGTACCGCGCCTGCCGACAGTGCGCCGCCGCAGCGGCCTACGGCGCCCTCCCCATCCGCCAACAGGCCGACGTCCTCCTGGCCAAGGTCCATGCACTGCACTCGGCACTCAAAATTACAAAGTCGGCGCATGCACTGGGCAATTTGCTCAAAAATGCCATTCGCGCCACAGACAACTCCGCAGACGGTGCCACTGCTCCGCTCTCGGATGACATGGTCAAGAGCATCGTCCTCCTCTCCTGCGGCCACTTTGCTTGGGAGCCGCAGCTGCTTGCCATGGCCGGCCACTGCGTCCATGGCTGCCTCTCATCGTCGGTCGCCACCGCTCCCGCCGCATCGTCGTCGTCAACCACATCGTCGTCGCCGGGCTCCTCGGCCCTGGCTCGCCTCTCGGCAGCGGCTTCAAGCCTCGACTCGCCGCATCCGGTCTACCTCCTCGGCAGAGGGCAGAACCACCAAGGCGATGCACTGGCTGCCGCGCTGGACGTCGCGCTCGCCATCGAGGGTGTCGACGAGCTGTTGGCCAAACTCGCCGCTCTGCACATTCCGCCGTCGGCTGCCATCCTGGTGAGCCACTTTGAGCACGGTTCGGCGACCAAGGCCGCCCGCGTTGAGCTCGAGTCGTACATCTCCGCCGGCATGGTCGATACCGTGGCCGAGCTCGCCCCGTACGGCGTCAAGGTCGTCTTCCTCCGCTGCAAGGCATGGCTGCTGGGCGAGGTCATCCGCGACATCGATAACTGCGGCGACACCGACGACCAGCTCGGCGACGGTGCAGACCTTGCCGTCCTCTCTGCTCAGTACCACGCTGCCGCAGACGCCGTCGCCGAATCGCCCGTCGCCGCATCGCTCTTTGCCTCGGAGCGGACCGACTTTGTCGCCGTCGTCTTCTCCTACACCAACCTTGCCGCCGCCCCGCCGCCGGCCACCGCCGACGACCTCGTCGTCCACCTCCCGCGTGACGCCACTCTCGCCCAGCTCTGGAGCATTATGATAGGCAAGTACATTGTCGACGCAGGCATTTCGCTTCCCTGCCCCGTCATCCACGACGTCGCCGGCCGCCCCAACACCCGCGCCGTAATTGTCACCAACGTCGACGGCTCGCAGGCCAAGGTTGACGTCGCCCTCGACACCCTCTCCATCGACCGCGTCCGCCGCTCCATGGACGCCGCTGACACTCTCCGCCATCCCATCAACGCCCTCCACTTTGCTATCGCCCCGCTCTGCAAGCACCATCCGCTCATGGTTGTTCTCCGCCCGCTCCTCGCCTGAGTGAGTGCCACCGCTACCACCACCGCCTCCTGCCATCGATACCAGCAACGCCATCCTTGCCCTGCAGGGACATCTCCGTTTTTAGATAAAGAGGGTGGAGAAGGTCCGGCGTAGGCTTACAGCGGCATCAGCTGGTCGCCCATGTCGGTTCCATCATCAGCGCCTGAGCTGACCTGGGTGGTGCCATGGTAATTGGCTATCACCGCCGTTGATTGGTGAACCAGTCGCCGTGCACTCCCGCCCTCGCCGGCGCCGTCTTCGGCATCGTCGCCCTCGTCCTCCACCGCGCCTGCTCCACCGCTTCTACTGCACATCCAAGACCAAGACCAAGCCCCTGGCTCATGAGGTTTTCCCGCCGATCGGTGCTGTCCCCCGCCACCCTCCGCCACACCATGCCCTCCTCACCCTGACCATGCCAAAAAAATATACAACCCCGCCTCCCTCCCCCCCTCCCCTTCCTCTCCCCTCCCCCCCCTCCCCTCCCCCCCACACCTCGTCTCCCCCTCCCCCCTTCCCCCCCTCCCCCCCGCCCACCCCCCTCCTTCATCCCCGCTCTCAACC